ACTAGGATCGGGGAGAGGAAGAGAGGCCCATAGTGGAGGAAGACCCGCTCCTCGCGTCCGGGGCCTTGGGGCGTCGGGAACACTGTGCACTGCCGGATGAACATCTAGGTGACAGCGCCCTAGGAGAATCTGTAGGGCGCGAACCCCCGCCGGCCGGCTGTCCAGGGCCGTCCTCCCCCTCCCGGGAGCTGGTACAGTCCGACCCCGCCCGCCGCCCAGGGCCAATGGGAACGACCTTCCGGCACACCTGGGGCCCAAGCCCCGCCCCCGAGCTCCGGGCCAGCCGCTCACCGCCCCCGGGCGGCTGCGGAGAGCCGGGCGATGGCCGCCTAGTGGCGCTCCAGGGACGAGCATCCTGGCGCCGTCTGTTTACTCGTGGACCAAGCACTGATGAGCCCTGCAGGAGCGGGGCGCAGCAAAGACCACACACCCGCAGCGAGTCCCGCTCTGTCCACACACGCGGCACAGTAAACACTGCCAGTCATGCACCGCGTGGTGTGTGATTCGTGCCATGATAAAAAGATAAACAGAGTGGGACTCGGGGCTCAGGAGCCCAGAAGGCCACGCTGGCGTTAATTAGATGGTGAGATGGACCTGGCAAAGGCAGAGGGCCGAGAGCGTGGACAAGCTGGCTGGACCACAGACGGAAGGCCTGCGTGGCTGGAGAGTGGCCAGTGGGGCTGCCATGCTGGGCCAAAGACTCTGGGGTGCTGGAGGGTCTTGAGCAGAATGACACGCACTGGCTTACAAGATTCCCTGGGCCGCGGGGTGGGAACAGACTGGAGCAGCCAGGGCAAACCCCAGGAGACCAGTGGGCTACTTTGGTGACTCCCTTTCAGGGACCACCATGGCCCAGGCTCAAGATGGAAGCCATGCTCGGGAGAATGGGGGAACCTGAGGCGCGCACTTGTGACATCCCCGAAGAGACGTTCAGTGGGCAGCTGACAAGGATTGGGCAGAGGCTGCACTGGAGATAAAAATGTGGGAATTGTATTGTGCTGGGGGTGGGAGGTGGCGGGAACAGCAGAGGACCCCCAATGTCAAGAGGTCCAGAATCTGCGAAGGAGACTAAGAAGGGGGCCAGTGGTAGGGGCTCGAGGAGAAAACAGGAGAGGGGCTTTGGGAGCCAGGCAAAGAAGGCGCATCCAGGAGGACGCCTGAGTGGAGGGAGGTGGCGGTCACTGGTGGCCCTAAGGACCGCAGTGCTGGGGGCAGGTGGGTGGCTGGAGGGCATTTAAAAAGAATGGGAGGCCAGTAAGCAGACAACAAGCACCTATTACTCCTCCCAGTGGTTCTGCTGCCCAGGGAAGGGACAAGCGGAGGGAGCTGACAGGGAGTGGCCAAGAGAGGGTTGTTTTGCTTTTTCTGTTTATTATGAGAGGTAACAGCATCCTTATAGGCTCAGGACATGACTTTGCAGAAAGGAAGAATAGAAGGTCCCAGAGAGGTGGGGACTCTGCAGTGATTCCTCCCTGTGGCCTGGAGCGGTAGGATCTGCAGGGTGGCGGCTAGCACAGCACGGTGCGTCTTGGGTGTCTCCCAGGCCAGGTACCTGAACCTGGGCACTTGGGCTCTGAGTGTATCAATCACATGACCTCAGGAGAGTCTCTCAACCTCCCCGTGCCTGAGTGTCCTTAGTCATAAGACAGGGATGTTGAGAGCTGGATGACTGCGTACAGGGATAGCACTTTGGGTAGGTTCCAGCGTGGTCAATACACTGCACCAGGCACCTCACCCTCAGCTTGGAGCTTGGCATGTGCTGGCCTTGCTACACACCATATCTATCTGCTGAAGGCCATTAAATATAAGGCCACTGCCCAGGAGAGGGTTCCAGATGTGGGGGGGAGGACATGCCACTGGAGCTGCTGGGAAAGAATTGGACAGCTTCTGGCCACCCTGGAGCCCCCCTGGAGAAGGGCCAGCCCCTCCCACCTATATCTGCAGCTGCTCCTGGGGGGCTGCAGAATTGTCATAATAAACTCATGCACCCATGATGAAATGCAAAGAACACTTTCTCAGCAGGCAGTCTTGGGTACACTGTACAACCTACCCAGCCATGCCAACCTGTGCTCGGATGTGAGACCTGTCCCCAGGGAACTGCCCAGAGCCCCTGGTCTGGGCCCAAACTGAGCATAGCTAATGGTACCTCTTGAGAACACAGGCATATATCTGTACCTCCCACATGCTGACGCCTCCAACATGCTGATGCAAATACCTCACCCTCCCATACGCCTGTGGACACCTTCCGTATATACCTCCCATCGGTACCATCACCTCCGGCACACACTGACCTGCCACCTCCCACATGCTAGGGCCAAGCAAGAACACACATGTAAACCCTGCTCACATGCACTTCACAGAACTGCATCCAGAAGCCCTGGCTGTATTTCCGGTGTGCGCTGGCCCCCCCTGCTCCTGCCCCTCGCAGGCACAGGCAGGCACAGACATGGCACGCGTGCTCCTCTCCTCATGTGTTCGGGAGGGTGGATCTGGGCCGGGAGCTCCCCTGGTCTCTCCAATCCAGGCCAGCCCTTTCCTGTGTCATCAGGCCTGCACACACAGGGCCGGAACCAGAGGAGGAGATAGACAGGGCTGTTCTCCGACTTAGGAAAGCAGTGTGCTAGTGTCCTGAGGCTGCGGTGACAGATGACCACAGACTGGGTGGCTTAAAGCAACAGAAATTTATTCTCTCATAGTCCTGGAGGCCAAGTCCAAAACCAAGGTTGACAGGGCCACATTCCCTCTGAAATCTGTAGGGAGAATCTTTTCCTGCTTTTCCAGTTTTTGCTGCTTCAGGCTTCCTTGACTTGTGGCAATCACTCCAATCTCTGCCTCTGTCTTCACAGGGCCTTCCTCCCTGTGTACCTGTCTCTCTCATCTATCTTGTGTAAATACACCCGTCATTGGATTTAGGGCCTACCTAGACAATCCAGAATGATCTCATCTCAAGCTCTTTAACTTAATTACAGCTGCGAAGACCCTTGTTCCAAGTAAGGCCACATACACAGGGGCTAGGCATTAGAATGCGGACAAATCTTTTTGAGGGGCCACCATTCGACCCACTACAGAGGGCGATAAGGATGCGTTTGGAACCTACAGGATGGGGGGCACAGCTGGGGGTTGTAGCAGCTGGACCAGACAGGAATTTGGAGTTACCCTGACTTCCGGCCTCTTCATGTTCCTGAGTCAGACTTCTTCCCTCCGAAGCCCTGCCCTGTCTTGAAGCTGTGTGTCCCACAGGTTCCTAGGGGTTCCCTCGAGACCACGCGATCCAGGCCTGTTGATGCCTCAACTTTCGACTCCAGTAGAACTGAGCCAGCTCATTGCCCCCCGTGCTCCTTCCCTGGCCACAGGTGGCCACACTGCACAGCACCCTGCACCAGTCTTCACGTTCCCGAGGTCCCAGGCGGGGACACATGCCTCCCTGGAGCCCTGGCATTGAGCCACCCAAGCAACGGTTGTGAAGGAAAAAATGAAGCGACCAATAGTGGACAGGGTGCAGGAGGGGCCTGTGGCGGGTTTGCGGCAGCTGGAGGGCCCCAGCCCCGGCTTACATGGGATGTAGGTAAGTCACGGGGACAAGGAGGACAAGGAGTGGGGTGGTGAGTTGGGCGGCAGGAGGCCTGGAAGGCAGCCAGGGGGCAGCGGGGTGGCTGAGGCTGAGGGGGCAGGGCCCCTGAGCAATGAGAAGAGGAGGGGCCCTTTGGAGCTGCCTGGAGCCCGGAGAGAGGTCTCCTGGGAGGGCCAGTGTTCCAGGCAGGCGCAGTGACTGATTGAGACCAGAGAGGTGGGGGGAAAGGGGGAGCACTTGCTGACCTTGGAAGGGGTACGGGGCTTGCGAGGACCCTGGGCCAAGAACAAAAGGGGAGCAGGCACCTCTCTGCCGCATGAGGAGCCCAGATGACCCGATTCTGCTTCAGGGAGCCTCCAGCCACGGAGGATCCATGAAGAGAAAGGGGCCAGGGCCAAATGCCCCTTAGCTGCCACTTGGGAACTCTACACGGGAATCTATAACTCCAGGTCTGAAACAGTCCATCCTCTCGATTGATAACCTTTTCAGTGCCCGGACAGAACCGGGCTAAGGGCAGGGACGAGCCTCCCAGGGCCCTGCGCTCCGCGCTGCGGACTCCGACTTCGAGTCTTCCGTGGTGAGAGATCCCATAGGAAGGACCGGGGTCCGCAGGGCTGCCCCCCGGGGTTGAGGGGCAA